TAGTCTGAAATTTTTACAGAGCAATACAAAAATCGCAACGGTACACAATAGTTTTGAAGCTATTGTTGTCTAAAGTGATCCCTTTGTGTGGGTATATCGGGTATTCTGGATCTACTTATCGAAATTCAATAAAAAAAAAACATAATAGCGAAATTTAAATAAAATTGTCAAGACGGAAGAGTGTGATCTCATGTTATTGTTTAAAGTCTAATATCTTATTTCAATTTGATTGTAGGAAACTCAATTTATCAGTTTCTACAGAGGTGTCTGGACACATTAAGACCTGAGTTCAGTGAATTAAAAACAGTTTCTGCTGACCAACTCATGTATGTGAAAGAAGATCTTATTTTGCCGCATCATTACACATTTTATGATTTCATTGTCACCAAGGTACGTTGAGACCACATACAAAAGAAATATCATAATATTAATGAAATCAATGAGCAATCAATTAAAACCAAAATGAACAACCTTCATGAATTAAAATGAAACGAACAACCTCAATGTAATCAATGAGTGATTATCCTTATTATTCAAATTAAATGTTTAAGTCAAAATAAACAACCTTCAAATTAAGGCCATTTGAGTATTGTAATTTATTTAACATTTTAAATGTATTATATTATTATCTTTATTATTATATCCTTATTGAATTTTTTCATACAATTTTCTATTACTCTTGAAACTGTGTGCAATTTTTTAGAATGTTCAGTTTACACAACAGACTTTGCAATAGCAAATATATTTTACATATCTATTTGTGATTTATTAGGCCCGAGGCAAGAGTGGACCTCTGTTCCAGTTTGATGCTTCAGATGATGTAAGATTGGTAAATGATGCCACACAAGAAAAACAAGATTCACACGCGGGTAAAGTACTTTTGAGGTGAGTATGTTTATATATAAATTTAGAATGTTATCACCAATGTTATTACCAATATTTACATTATTTATCTTATACTGAGAGATTACCTATTAATTCTTTTGATTGCTTTGTATATACATGAATAACCATACCATAAACACTCACGCCTGTCACTCAGAGGGGTAGGCAGAGACTACAGACTTCCATTTGGCACGATCCTGACACACCTCTCTTGCCTCCTTCACATCCATACACCTACGCATACACGCTCGTCGGTTAAAGGTACTCCTAATTGGGCCCGTTTTCAATAAATCGCCAATTTGGTCGATAAATTTTCGCCTAGGACGTCCCTTTCCGACTCTGCCATTCACTTCTGCACCATAAATTTTCTTTGTCACTCTTTCCTCATTCATTCTTTCCACATAACCAAACCACCGAAGCATTCCTTTCTTAATCCTGGTCACATCATCTTGCAAACCACACTCTTCTCTTATTACACAATTTCTTACCCTGTCATTCAGATTCAGCCCTAACATACTCCTTAACGACCGCATTTCTACTGCGTTCATTCTACTCTTGTGCTTCTTCTGCCACACCCAACTTTCACTACCATACGTTAAAGTAGGGACCAACACAGCATTGTGAATTGCCATACGTGCTTTTTTCGACACATTTTGACTCTTCACAATAGAGTGCAAGGCCCCATTTACTCTATTTCCCGCATTCACTCGTCGTTCTATATCCTTATCATATCTCCCATCCCTGCTAAATACGCAGCCCAAATATACAAACTCATCTACTTGCTCGATCAACTCCCCTTCTATTCTTATTTCACAAATCGTTTTACTTTCTTCTCTTTCAAAAACCATAACCTTCGTCTTCCTTGCGTTCTCTTTCATACCCCTTTCTTTTAATGATCCGTTCATTAATGTAACCATCATTTGCAACTCGGCCGCCGACGACGCAAGAATAACTTGATCATCGGCGTACAAAAGGCATTTGACGGTTAACTCACCCATTCTTAATCCGCATTCTTCAACTTTCAAATTTTGCAAACAACTGTCCATAAATAGGTTGAACAGCCACGGGGAAGCCACACAGCCTTGTCTGACACCTTTATGGATGTCAAACCAGTCCGAGTAGACCCCGTTGATCCTAACACAAGCACTAGAGTCCCTATAAAGAGACTCCAATGCCTGTATCAAGCCAGCGCTCAACCCAAATGAGTTCAGTGTTTGCCATAGGAAATCCCTATCCACTCTGTCATAGGCCTTTTCCAAGTCCATGAACGCACAAAAAACCTTTTGGTTTTTGGCCAGAAACTTCTCCGCGATTATGCGCATGGAATGGAGACTTGATCTGTACATCCCATTCCCTTTCTAAATCCCGCTTGCACATCCCAAATTTTTCCATCAGTTTCTTTCATGACCCTTTCAATCAGTACCTTAGCATACAGTTTTCCCACAATGCTAAGAAGGCTGATGCCACGGTAGTTTTTACAGTCCTGCGACTCTGCGACCCTCTTCCTTTATATACTGGGACTATCACGGCTTTGCACCATTCTCCCGGTATCCACTTCAGTTCCCAGCATAAATTAAACAAGGTGTGCAGCAGGCCTGCCACCCACTTCCTCTCCAGCCCTTAGCATTTCGAGTGAAACTCTATCATATCCGGCAGCCTTACCCGCTTTCATGCTTTTCATTGATTTCATTATTTCATCTATACTTATCTCGCTACCTCTTTCCTCTTCTTTCGATGTTTCTACTTCACTTAGTACACACGTTGTCTCCTCACTCATAAACACGCTTTCAAAATATTTCTTCCATCTCTTTAAACTCAAAACTTCATCATTCAGAATATAGCCATTCTCGTCTCTTATAGCATTCATCATAGGCTGTTTTGAATGTCCCCTGGCAGTTCTTACAAGTTTCCAGAACATTTTAATATTTGCCTGGAAGTTATCCGATATTCTTCTATCATTCTTATGCGTTCTTTCTTGCTTTTTTCTTTCAACTACTTCTTTTACTCTCTTATTAAGATGTCTAAAGACTGCCTTTTTTCTTTCAATATCACCATTCGTACCGCTAGGATTACCAGCCTTTGTTGCTAGTAAATCTAGCCATGCTCTCTTCTTTACTTCAACTTCCATACGTATCTCATCATCCCACCATAACGTATTATTTTTCCTTTCATTCTTTCTCTTACTAACACCACATACTTCGGTAGCTGTATCCACTAAACCTTTCTTTACGTTTTGCCATTCATTCTCCAAGTCTAACTCCTTCATACATAATTCATCCAAACCATTTATATTTTCTTTCAGTCTACATTTGAACTTGTTTTTATCACTTTCATCTTGTAACCTTTCTGTTCTAATACGCTGTAACGCAGTGGTAGACACAGACGATCGATGGCGCCAACGCCTGAATAGACCATTAATTCGGCATAAAACTAAATAATGATCCGTTCCTACGTTAGAACCCCGGTAAACCCTCGTATCTACCACTGCGCCCCTCAATCTTTCATCCACAAATATGAAATCTATCATGCTTCTATCGTCACCTCTTTCCCAAGTATACATGTGAATCCTCTTGTGGCGAAAGCAAGTGTTCGTCACAAAAAGATTCTTTTCCATACATACGGTGAGGAGACTTTCACCATTCTTATTTATACTTTCATCACCAAATGTTCCCAATATCCTTTCATAACCAACCCTCCTCACCCCAACCCTTCCATTAAAATCTCCTAGCATAATAATATTTTCATTTCCCTTACACTTCATTAACACCATCCTTACCATTTCCCAAAACTGCTCTCGGATATAAGTGGGCTTAGACATGTCTGGGGCGTAGACCCCTAACATAAACAACTTCTTTAAGCCCACTTTCATTCGTATCCATAGCAGTCTTGGGCTTACTTACACATTCATACTCTTTCACACATTGGCCCATTCTTTCTGAAAGGATGATACCTACTCCCTGGCATGCCCGCTCGATCTCATCTACACCAGACCAGTATGCGGTATACATGCCATGTGTAGTGACATCCTTCCCCTTCCTTTTCGTCTCATTTACGCAATACACATCTATTCCTCTATGATACATCATATCGCATACTTCATCCATTTTATCATTCATTGCCCCACATACATTCAACGTAGCCAGACGGGCCTCTGCAATCCACTTTTCGCCTCTCCGGGAGACAGAACGTGACGGGTGGCGAACCTCGTCGCCGGTTTTCCTCCCGGAGATTCTTCGCACCCCTGCCCCATTAAAGGGGCGCCGGGAACTCGGGGCCATTTCTTTAATTCTTCCTCATGGTGCGAAATGGGGTGGTATATTTAACGCCGCTACCACGGCGTGGAGCCGAGTCTGGTATCGGCTTGTCGCTCATTTAGCACCACCCGGGGGACATGTGTAGGGTGGGCCTAGGAACAGGTGGTCAAAGCCTACGGACGCGAGCGACTTATCCCCCACATGAATAAATATAAATAAAACTATTTTATAAATATAATTATTATATTTTATTATTTACATATTATTTATCATTTTAGCTATGATATATGCTAAAATTGTTAACATTTTTCTTTTCACAATCACAAGGAATGTTTATGACTTTTTATTTTGTAGATTTTTTACAGTTCCATTTTATTTATATATTTAACATATTTACAGGTCATGGTACGAGAGAAACAAACACATTTTCCCTGCCTCTAGATGGGAGCCATATGATCCAACAAAAACTTACTCTAAATATACAATTAAAGGTAAATAGAACAATAATGTGCCACTATATGATTATGATTACTTTTATAAAGCAATCACATTAGACTGTATTATAAATTATGCAATAACACTGTCAATAAATAATTAGATCTAAATGCTGTTTTTTTGTTTACTTTCTGACAACCATTTTGCCCTCTATAAAAACCTCAAAAATAAATTGAGGGTCACTTGCCGTCATAAAACTATCCTATCTCTCACGTTGGAGCAAGCAATACACATTCACAAAATTATACTAAAATCGGTTAAGCTGTTTCAGAATGGTAGGGTGAACAATATTGTGCCACAGGGATAATTATACAACTTAACCCAGTGTAATATTTAAATATTATCTATGTGACCATCTGCAATAATTCAATATGATACAAGACTTTGTAGGTTCGTCCACCTTTTGTTTTCAAGTTTATCTAAGAAGTCTTTTTTGCTTCTGCTATTCTCTATTTCTGGCAAAAGAGGTGGTGCATGCCTTTGAAAATGAATGATAGCAGCTAACAGATTCCAAATAGTGAACTCTGGCCATAAAACATCTGAGAAGTATAAAACTGTCCTCGAAACCTGCATAAAAATAACATTGATTTAACATACACAGACACAAATATCATTCAAGGACATTCAAATATTTTCATTTTCAAACAAGGAGGTTAAAAATAATAATATCTTAAATATAGATTAATAAGATGTTTAATGATCAAAAGTGAAAAAATAAGAACTAATCATTTTAATGTTTTTTAAAAGAGGAAATACATATTATTTATTTAGGACACAAGTCGCCAACAACTTCTGCCAGGACTTACCACCAGGTGGGATTGTGGTTAAGCACTGGCTTATAATAAGTTAAAAAAAAGTCCTTTATGAACCTGAGAGGCGATGAAACCCCATCTGTTTATCAAATTGTTCTTATTTCTTCTTCTTAATATTAAGATATTCATTTTTAATTGCAAATTAGTTATATAGTTAATACAGTGTGGGACATTAATTTTTGCACTTTTGCAATCGTTCTAGTGTGGCAAGCAGTGTTGCAGTTTCAGCACATTTGGTGCTAAATCTGGTGCTTTTCTAGGGTCTATATTGCTTTTCTTAAATATTTTCTTGAATAAAAAATAATGACATATTGTACTTAAACGCAAAATTAATAAAGTGCTTTTTAAATGCGTCCGCCGTTTTTTAATCCACTTTATATGGGCCTTTCAGACTAGATCTAGCGCCAAATGCGCTGAAACGGCAACACTATGCGCAGGGGGGAGAATTTGGCACCACTCACATGCAGATTCCTCGCTTCTTGGAACAATGCATAGCTTCATGGGAGAAATACGCGCGTTCAAAAACAATGTCTTTAAAAACTACAATAAATAACATTAAATTGTGAATATTTCGTACCTGCCACAGCATAAAGTCAGACAACCTTACTTCACCAGACGTTCTCACTAATAATTCGGCTTCTTTCAAATCAAGTGTTTGGGACACTAGATTTTCATCAATATCATCTGCTGTCAACTCATTATTTTGGATACCATCAATTATATGAGATGCTGCACGGCTGATTTCATCACGTCCTAAAAATTACTTAAATTAATTATATCAGAATAAATTTAAACACATTAATAGATGTGAGAAAAGAGAAATATATTCAATGAAAAAATTGATTAAATTTAAACAATTTTTTCAATTAATATATTTTTCACAAAATTTTACTAGGACATAATGTCAAAAAGTTTTCTAATAAAAACAGTACCTTATAAATAAATAAAAAAATGAGGGGGTTTAACGCCAAAAATTATACTGTGGCTGTACAAAACTGTAATTCGGCCCATGATCATATACGGCTTTCTGGTATGGTGGGCCAAATCCAATGAAGCCACCACTATACCAAAAGCTTCAGAGATTAGCTTGTATGGCTGCCACGGGCTGCATAAGAACTACAGTGTAGTCCTTATGCAGCCCATAGTCACTACAACAACAGCAGCTTTGGAGGCTATGCTGGAGCTAACAACGCTTCATCTACATATACAACAAGAAACAACTTTAGCTGCCATTAGACTCAAGACCCTAAATCTTTTAAGTAAGAGTAGAGTCGCCCATACAGATATAATCGATAGAATTTACTCAAAAATTCCAATCTTACAAGCCAAGTGTGATAGGAACCCAAAACAATTTGTATTTGATAAGAAGTACAGGATACAATTGAAGGAAACTGACCATCTGGAAGGATTGGGTCCAAGAAAGCTCAAAGTTTTCACGGATGGCTCTAAGACAAATGAAGGTGTGGGGTCTGGGGCTTTCTATGAAGACCTTAATGTCCTTAATATGCACACTGCTGGGTACCCACAACACAGTCTTCTAGGCTGAATGCATGGGTATCATCCAAGCGGCCATAGCAATAGATGCTAGGAAGGTGAAAGACTTTTCCATCAGAATACCGACCGACAGTATGGCGGTACTACAAGCTCTGTGTTGCAATGTGACGAACTCGGGACTGATATATGAGTGCCATCAACGATTGAATGAGGTATGTAAGCACAACAATGTGACTGCAATGGATCAAGGGACACAGTGGATCTAGAGGCAACGATGCAGCAGATGAACTGGCCAGAAGGGGATCGGCCCTGGCAACTATAGGGCCGGAACCAATAATACCAATCCCCTTTGGCTACGTTTGTTCACTGGTACGTAGATACTTTAATAATTTACACGCTCAGCTTTGGAAAAATTTAGTAGCGAAGCTAGGGAGGCCCTGCCTGAAATAAACATGTCGTCTAACCAAGGTACTAATGAGACTGAACAAGCCACAGATCAGGATAGTAACAAGTGCTATCACAGGACATGGCCTCTTTTAACAAACATTTGTTCACCATAGGTGTTACTGATAGCCCCCTATGCAGGGCATGCATGGGAGAGGAAGAAACGGCGGCTCACGTGTTGCTGACATGTCCAGAAGTCGCTTCATACAGGGCTAAACATGTCGGCACGCCGGGATCGCTCCCCGAATTTGCTTGCAACATCAAGTGACTGCTGAGCTTCTTCGGGGAGACATCATGGCTCGAACAACCATAGTATTCCTGCCCATACGCAAAATACGCGCTTAGACGTGGAGTTGCGGAACACGGCCTGTCGTAAACTAAACTAAACTAATAAATTTAAAAAATTTGACTTTTTCTTTTAAGTGACCCAACATTTTTTAACCAATCAGCTCGCATTGAACAATCTCTTAATAACAGGTTGAAATTGATTAGTACATGAAAGTCAAAGTAGTAAGTGCTTGTGCTCTTGTCCTTAAAATATGTTAAAAAAACATGACTTAAAAAAGCTGTGCATATTATGAGCAAACCTAGAGAAAGTTCTTTTCGTCCTGTCCTACACTTTTAATTTCGTGAGGTCCTGGAAGGTGATTGGCCAACTAACAAGCAGTATCATGTGCAGCATGACTAGATTTTATTTGACTAATGTACTAAAGTGAGTAGCAAAAATCTACTAAATTGTAATAACTGGTTTCATAACCAATTCTAATCTTAATCTTATATATTAGCTGCATTTTAAAAAGGGTATAAAGTAAGTATTAAATTCATAATGCATAACACTTGATTGAATAGAAAAATATTAAAAGTTTGTAACTTTTAACACAACACAACATCTTTTATCATTATTATTACAGACCGTCACATATCCACAGCCGAACACAGGCCTCCTCTAGGAAAGAAGTAAACAAAACAGGAGACAATGGGGGAAGGTGATAATAGGCTCGCATGTGTGATGACATAATATGGATCTGAGATGTAGTCCTTCACTGCTGGCCATATGAGGAAGCTTAAGAGTCTCTGAGAGACTGTTTCTCTGCACGATAGATTTAGAAATGAGGATATCCGCAGTAAGACCAAAGTTACCGATATACCTAACAGATCTTCTGTAAGCCAATTATGGACTGGCCACATAGCTCAAAGAACTGACAACCAATAAAGAAAGTAGGTTCTCGAGTTGTAGCCTCGTACCAGTAATCGAAGTGTAGCTAGATTAAGTGATGACATGGTAAGAGATGCAGGAAATCAGCAGCTGAGGACTATGCTTTGTGGCATTCTTTGGGGGAGGCTTATATTCAGCGGTGGACTTGTTATGGCAATTATTATGATGATGAATAGAGAGGAGGGAAGATATCTCTCTGATGAGGAATCATACAGTAAAAATATTTTAAAGATTTTTTTAAATACTTACATTTAGGGTTATATATTATATTACCTGTGTATGCATAAGCAATATTCAGCTGTAGTATATTATTGTGTTTAGTAGCCAACATTGCTTGAGAAACAAGTGATTGTAGATCATCGGGAAGGAGTGATAAACGTCCAGCAATGTGTAACCGAACTCCCCACTCGTTAATTAAATCACTACAATAAAAATAACATGTTTAAAATAAAATAAACAGTTTCATTTATTTCAAATATAAAGTCAGTTCATAAAAAATATTTTAATATACAAAGTCCAGCTAATGTTAATAAAAATTAATAAACATACTAAATATAATTATTATACATATAATTTCTTGATACAAACATTTCGTCAAGAAGTCTCTTAAATTTATCACGTGCTAAATCCATGAGTGCTGAGACTTCTTCATCACTTCTCTTAAAATTTTCTATACTAAATGCATATACTGTCACTTCAGGAACACCTAAATCTAAACACCACTGTAAATATGTTTCAAAATTATCATTATGCCAGCATTACATGTTATATATATATATATAAATTTCGGGTAAACAAACGTATAAGAAAATTTACACTTAATAAAACAATTGTTAACGCACTTTAAGTGTTTCTGAAAGCTTATCAAAACCCTTGTGGTGTCCAACACTGGCCTTGACACTGTTTTTTTTAGCATATCGCCTGTTTCCATCCATAATAAAAGCAATATGCTGTGGAATTCTGCCACTTTTAACAACTTTTATACAAAAAAGTTGGAAAAAAGAAACGCAATTTTCTTTCACCCAAGACATAATTCACAAACTAATATTTTTATCGTATGTATGTATAATAAAAATATAACATAGATAAATAAATATGTAGCAAGCAAATATAATTTTTATGCTTTTTATGGCTGGCTGAGCTGGGCTGAGCTAAGTTTATAGCATCAAATTAATGATTTTTTTTAAATATGGCAACCTAACAATTACTGCCAACCTCCAGTCAATAAAAATAATACTAGTAACTTGAAATGAAACGACGGACAATGTAAAGAGAAACTACGATTCTGATTAAAAACCGAAATCATAATGTTAAGAACCATAGAATACTATAATAATGAACCATGAAATGACTTGTACTGAAGTATATTAAATAAATGATGGATGTTAGGTTGAAATAAAATAATACTAAACTCAATACCACATTTAAAGTAATAAATAATACTAAATAAAGAAATTGATTGCTTTATAACTTAATATTATTTAAATCTAAAAATTCCATAAGACATTTGAAAACATTTTTACTTTTTTTAGAAAAAATTAAAAGAGAACGAATTTCTGTAGGAAGAGGAATTTTAAGATTTACCAAAGTGTTAAATAATGAAGTATGATCATATAAAGGACACGAGAAGAAAATATGGTTGAGGTCACCAATATCCAAACCACATTCACATATTGAAATTTTTTTAATATGAAGCCACGCAAGGTGAACCGAATTACAGCAGTGACCCAAGCGTAATCTACATAACATTGATGTATATTTCTTATTAAAGGATAATTTATAAAACCAAGGCTTAGAAGGAATGATGGGTTGAATTTTGGCATAGTGACAGCCTTTTGTCGTTTTGGTTTTGTTCCAATGTTTTGACCATCTATCTTTATATAGGTACTAATTTCGTAGTCCTTATAAGGTCATAGCAATAATTTTTAAATAAGAAAGTATCCCCACAGACTATAGCTTGTTTAGCAAGTTTGTTAGTATATTCATTACCAGATATACCAATATGACTCGGAATCCAAACGAGAGAAATGTAAATGTTTTGGAATTGGTATAAGAATAGAAGTTTCTTAATTTCAAATATCAAAGGATTGCGGGAAATGTCATAGAAAGGATTACATAACAATGCTTGTAAAGAACTAAGAGAATCTGAAAATATCACGCTTGATTTTAATTTAAAAAGATAGCAATATTTTATTCATTGTAAAATGGCTAACATTTCTCCAGTAAAAAGTGAAGATTCGGGAGGACTTTTCATTTTTTGAACTATTCTCCAATTTTGATGGTATATTGCATATGCAGTACAACCTTTTCAGTTAATCTTAGAAGCATCTGTAAAAATATAATGACAATCTGGGAAATTCTTGTCCAACGTAAATACAATTGTTTTATTTGATTCAATAGAAAATTTATTTAATCCTATATCTAATATATGATTGGGTTTGAAAAGTGCAACTTCAAACTAATTAGAGAAAAGAGGCAGAGTCGCCGACCTATAAATAGGATCTAGTAAGGAATTATAATGTTTATAGCTTTTAACTAGGTTAGGTGTTTCTTTATTACGCCAGTATTTTCCTGAATTAATTGACATGTACTGAGAAAGGAAACGAATTTTAGGGATTAATAGATGGTTGGAAAATTGAAGAACCCGATAGAAAAGGAATCCGATAAATATTGTCGTCTAATAAAAAGTGGAGGATCACCGCATTCAATCTGCAAGGCATTGATAGGCGACGAATTCATAGCGCCTATAATTAATCCTTAAAGACTTTTGTTGAATGTATCTAATATTTTTAATCCTTTTTTACTAGCAGAAGAAATGAGGCATAATCTAATCGACTTCTTATAATTGCATTATAAATTAATTTTAAAGAATATGGATGAGCGCCCCACCATACCCCGTACAAAGCTCTAAGAATGTTTATATTTCTTTCGCATATTTTTTGGGTATAAATGATATGCGGCATGCCGGATAATTTATTATCAAGAATTACACCAAGGAATTTAACTTGTTGGATATTTACGACCGGATAATCAAAAAGGCGAACTTGAATTTCAGGTAAAACTCTTTTTGCGCGAAAAAATTACTGTATTACTTTTATTTGGGGAAAGTTCTAGTTCATGATCATCTAACCAAGAGTCCATAGAGAGGAGATCTTGTTCTATCGCATTAGCACAGGATTCTATACATTTATCATTAACATAAACTAAGATATCATCAGCGTATTGCAAAATTCTACACTTTGAAATAGACTGGTCCAAATCGCGTATAAATATTGTATAATAAATGACTTAAAACAGAGCCTTGTGGAAGGCCTTTGAAAATCTTTCGAGTATATTTTAGATCATCATCAATTTTAATATGTATATATCGATCTAGAAATAAATTGATAATCAAATTTGTAAGTTTTCTGGATATATTAAGCTTAAACATCTTTTCTCTAAGGATGTTAAGTCTGACATTATCGTAAGCAGAAGAAATGTCAAGGAAAGCAGCAAGGACCGATTCATTTCTCGAAGATGGTAGTCTAATATCTGTGGTGAAGATAGAAAGACTGTCATATGTGCTTTTACCTTTTCCGAATCCATATTGGGTACTTGATAACAATCCATGACTTTCTACATACCATTCAAGACGGTTCTTGATCATATTGTTACGAGCTTGAGGTTCGTGACAATAAAAATTGTCGATAAAATTACCTAAATTAACACTTTAATTTACTTTACACAAATTAGAACTTAAAACACTAATAATTAAACACACTAATTCGCTTTATTCCGCTCCGAAGCTTCGCTTGTCTCGCCAAATCAACACTGCTCGATCGCATCTTGCAGTGCCTATTTATTTAAATTAGCAAAGAAGCATCCGGAATATTCAAGTAAATGCGCGCAAAGGGACGAGTGTGTGAGTGTAGATTTTCTAGAAACTTAGTTCTTCGGATGGCGCTGTCGCTCTCGTTCCTGACACTAGATGGCGCTAGTTGACTTATTCACGCAACACTGCCCCTCCTAAGACATGCTCGTCCCGAGCATTATCGGTCCCATAATAACGCGCCAAGCGATCCACATGGACGATCTTAGGAGTCCCTCTTGCGCCTTTCTGTATCCGGTAGGTCACATCGTTGATCCTGGTTACAATCCGGTACGGGCCGTCCCATTTAGCTTGAAGCTTAGGAGATTTCCCTTTGCTGCGGACTGGATTGTGCAACCACACTAATGAACCTTCGTTGAACCCTTTATTGTTCATTTTGCGGTAGTACCGGGTTTTCATTTTCTTAGACATTTGCTGGCCCGATTGTCTGACGTGCTCATAAATGTCATTCATTTTGTTCCGCAAGTCATTTGCATAATCGGTTATACTGCGTGGGGCATCAGGTGGTATCCCGGTGATCAGGTCTGCAGGCAGCCGTAATTCTCTTCCAAAGTTTGCGAAAGCTGGTGTCACTGCTGTACTTTCGTGAACAGAACTTCGATATAACAACAAAAACGGTTGTATGTGCTTGTCCCAATCTCGTTGCCGATTGTCTACAACTTTTGCTAGGTACCTCTCCAACGTCTGATTAAATCGTTCCACCATTCCATCAGATTGCGGGTGATAAGAAGTCGTTCTTGTTTTATTAGTACCCATAACTCGGCAAGTTTCCTGGAATATTTGAGACTCAAAATTCCTTCCTTGATCGCTGTGAATCTCTAAAGGTACTCCAAAACGACAGAAGACTTCATGAACTAGTTTATCTGCAACTGTTGAAGCTTCTTGATTTGGAATGGCGAAAACTTCTGGCCACTTTGTGAAGTAATCCATCACAACCATGAAATACTTGTTACCGCTTTCACTCTCCGGAAACGGACCCGCCACGTCAATAGCTATTCTCTCCCATGGTGCACCAACGTTGTACAACTTCAATGCACCTCTACTACGAGTCTGAGGTCCCTTTACAGCCGCACAACTTGTACATTTGCGACACCAGTCCTCGACATCGTTTTGACAGTGGACCCAATAAAACTGTTCACGGATCTTCAGTAGAGTTCGTTTAACTCCCAGATGGCCTCCGGAACAATCATTATGGTACAGCTGTAGAACATCCGGTACTTTAGCTTTAGGGACAACCATTTGCAAATGACAGCTGTCTCCCCTAACATTTTCCCATTTACGGCACAGAACTCCATCCTGAAGCAGCAAGCTGTCCCACTGGGCCCAATAGCTTTTAGTGGTCGAACTCATTGCTGAGACGTCGCTCCACTTAGGCTTGGGAGCACTGGCCTTTATCCATTCCAGAATCGGCTTGATGTCCGGATCTTCCTGCTGTGCATGTTGTAAGCTGTCCTTCCATTCGTTGCTGAGGTGGTCCGTCCTGAGCATCCTCACGGATACCTCTTCCTTACTCTCTTGCCTAGTACAATGGTTGCAATCTTCAGGACAAGGTCTTCTTGACAATGCATCTGCGTTGCCGTGAGATTTTCCGCTGCGATGTTCGATCTCAAAGTCGTATTCCTGCAGTAGTTCAATCCACCTCGCAACTTGTCCTTCTGGATTTTTAAACTGCAATAGCCATTTTAATGCAGCATGGTCAGTTCGTAAGTGAAATTTTCGTCCCAGAAGATATTTGCTAAAATGCTGCAACGACTTTACCACAGCTAGCAATTCGCGTCTTGTGACACAATAGTTCCTTTCCGGTTTTGACAACGACTTGCTGAAGTACGCTATCACGACCTCTTGGTCACCATTTCGTTGGGACAACACACCGCCAAGTCCTATATCACTTGCGTCTGTGTCAACTATAAATTCTTTGCTTGCATCAGGGTATTCCAAAATAGGTGTTTTGCACAGACGGTCCTTGAGCCCACTGCAACTTTCATCCCAGCAGAAATGTCGCTTCTCCTCGGTTAGCTTGTGCAGAGGTTTGGCTATATCTGCAAAGTTCTTCACAAATCGCCGGTA